TCTGTAATTTCTGTTCCATCTCACTCTGTTAGCAAAACTCGCATTTTATTTGTTCCAAAGTTTTTTTTGGGGTTTTCGGTCGTTTTTAAGGACTTTTTTGCAGTACCGCATTTTTGAAGACTTACAGAGTGGTTAGATCTGCAGTATTGTTTTTTGCATCAAGAAAGTAGTTTGTAGAGTCGCTGTGAAATGGATACTAGTCGTTTCTTAACGTAATATTTTAAAAGTTCGAAGGATTTGCAGATGGCGATCTAGGATGAAATAAATGACCAAGATTTTTATTTTTTTTGGGGTTTATTCAGGAGTAGGGATTGTCTTCACGAATAGAAGACTATCTACTGTTAGTGAAAGAATTAGGGTTGATTTCCAGACTAGTTGTTTGAAGAAATAAACTACTTTCAGACCTCTGCATTAATCGAAATTACTCTCTTAACCAAATTTAATTATCAGGGTTATGTGTGCTTACGAGGCTTCTTTTTTGTCTTCTAGTTATAAGGTAAAAGAAAGTTTTTCTTTTTAGGTTCTTCGCGCGGCGAAGTATTTCAAGGAAGCTTGTCGTCTGTGTGAAAAACACAGTCTCCATGAACAGCAGCTTGCTATTTTAGTTGAAGAAATGAAAGCGTATGAGGATGCTTTAAATTATATCACAAAGTTGGATCCAGAGAAAGTATAGCACTTCATCATTACTGTGTAAGAATTTTTTACTTTCCTGGAGTGTTAAACTTTTTTTAGGTTGAACAACACTTAGGAAAATATGGGAAGTTGCTTCTGGAAAAGTGCCCTGATTCGATGATGGATTACCTGGTTAAATTTATTGCCATTGATAGTAAGTATTTGACTACAACAAATTTTCTAGGCTGTTTAAATCCAACTCTGTTAGTGAGGGTAAAAGTTTATTTTAGATGACTTACTCATATAAAATAAAGGAACAATTTGTGTTTTTAATGTTTGAAATTTTCAGAAATTTCCTGATACTAAATGATGCTTGAGTTGCAACACTTTATGAGAAAAATGGTATGATAAATGAACTGTAATTTTGATTATTTCCTCTGCAATTGATTAGGGTCATTCTTGCGGACGCGTGAGTATTCATTTAATTGAGGTAGTCAAAGTTGCTTGCTGACGACAACAGTAATATTTAATACTTACCTATCCAATGGAAAGTTTTTAAAGTTCGTGGACATCACGTGTTATTGGCGCTACTGTTCACTGAATGAAAGGAAAGGAAAAAAATCAAGAAGTGATAGAACAGCATAAGGTCTGGTGATTTAGAGAAGGAGAAGAGAGATCACACAATTAAAGTCACTTGAAAACTTAGCAGAAAAATCGGTTTGACCGGATACAGTTACTTAAGTTTAGAGTATTAAAGTAGGAGCAAAAATATGTGTTGATGGAGATGGCAATATGCTGTAATTTTGCGGAGGCTTAAAGAAATCTGCCTGGCTTCATTTGTGTAGTAGAACAAGATCAGTTAAAAGTTCTTCTTGTCTTCTGAAGTACAGCTAAGGTGTTCTTTGCTAATAAAGTTCATTATCTGAGACTTTTTAGGAAAATTATTTAAAGCAGCTATGAATTCAACACGGGTAAGAGACATATTTTCCGACAATGCTAGTAACAGTAGTATGTGAAGAAAATTTTTTAGGCAATTGAAAAGGCAAGGACATCATTCCTGGAAACCTCAACACAGTGCAATCATTGTTTTAGGTACAATCAACAGGGCGTTCCAGAAATTTGAGAGCCAATGCATTTTCAATGTAAAAGCGAAAAGTGGTTGGTGTTGGAAGCCAAAGGGTTCTTTGTAATAGGCTTTTATTGCATTCAGCTTGCTAATAAGATTTTTCCTTCCGTCTTTGGATATTACTGTTTAGCCGTTACAACTTGCTAATGTTTTTGAAGAACGTTTAAAAGCAAAGTTTAAAAGATGATGCGGACGCAAAGAAATAAATCGAGGAGTCATGCGTGAATGTGGGAAAGAATAGCCGTGGAACGGCAGGATAAATTTGTATCCACTTTTTTTTGTACTGGAGAGGGATTAAATTAGTTCGCCAGAATGATTATGGGATGTGGGCTAAAATGATGCCTAAGTTAATAATTAATTTTAAAGGTGTTGAGGCAATAATTCATTTTTTTTATGCCAGAGGAGAGTGTGATGATTTCGCAATAAAGGTATCCTCATGTTAGAATTAGGAGTGAGAAGGGGGAAGTGTATGGGTTGGGTATTTGTGGAGTGAGGCTGTAAATAACATAAAAATACATCGTTTTTTCATTTTGTGTGCTTTTCCTACACCAATAGGGCTAGCACATTCTTTGAGAAGTAGTCAGTTTTTGTATCTTCAAATGCGGTATTTTCAGGTAACGCTTCAAGTCATATTGATGCTGCAGAACTAATGAAAATGTTTATTGGAAATTCTGCTCTGTGTTCACGATTTATTGAAGCGGTTTTGAAGGTGGCTGACTGGGAACTAAAAGCAATTTTTTGCCTTTTTTAAATTATTACTTTTTTAGCACCTGTTTTTTTTTAGGCGGGTGCAAGAAACTCAAAGCTTCGACTTATAATGCTTGAGCTACGTTTACGTCAGTGGTTGCATCGTGTCGAGGTTTTTAAGAATAATATTCCTGTCCTTTTAACTTTCTAAAATATGTTTTTCTATTAATGTATTGTTAAAATTGTTGAAAATTTTCGCCATTACTCGTGTTTCATTTGGAGCTGTTTTTAATGGTTTTCTTTAGGGATCTCCAGTAAATGAGGAAGAAATATTGAACCTTATTGACGGAGAAGACCTCGACCAAGCAATTCAGTTGTGCTTGATGTTTGATTTCGCTCCAGGGATTATTTATGGATATACTAAACAGGAGAAGTTGGATTTCATTGACAACTTAATTGTCATTCATCATTAAGCAATGTCTGTTTTTTTCTATGGTTTCGCACGTTTGGCAAAGTTCTTATGGTTTAGGTATGATGAATTGCTGGAGTACCACATGAGGCAGAACAACTTGAAGGAAGTTATTGATTTATGCAGAAGGAAAAGGTACAACGTTTTTTCAGTTAGTAAGCATAATCAAACAGACAACAGCTTAAAGTAGATTTATCGGAAGTGTTATAGAAGTCAAAAGTTATGGATAGATGCTCTTGTGTTTACTTCTCGTGCGAAAAGTATAGATTCCAATGCGCTGGAGTACTTGTTGAAGAAGTTGGTACCTTTTTTTCCTGCTGCATTTTATTAAGTTTTACTTATATTTTTTGAATGCTAAAGGAAGTTTGATTCAGTATTGAAAGTGCGAACTGCGTTCATCCATTGTTGATGTTGGAAATTTTATCGCATAGTGAAATCTTGCGGGTGGCACATGTAAAAAACTACATCATTAAGTGGCTGCAAAAACATGATGAACAGGTAAAACAGTGTTGAGTAGATGAGTATTTAAATTTATTCAAACGGCTATTTTTGTTATGTTTAAGGCAAATATGCGATAACGCTAAAAAAATTCCTGCTTGCTCCTATTGTGATCTAAAAACATACATATCTACTGTTTGGCAATATTTTGAAAGTAGTAGAGAACAAACAATAAAAATAAAAAACTAGTGGAAGAAAAACAAGGAGAAATACGGAAGCACAAATATTTTTTCAATTGCTAATCAGTGTAAATACGGTTGCACTTTTGTTTGAATGAATTATTGCTCTTCAGGCGCTTCTTGATGAGAAGATTATCGCTGAGAATGAGAAAACGGTAAAAGAGATTGAGGACCAAATTGAAAGCCTCAATTACAGGCAAGAGGTTTTTTTACTTGCAGCTAATTTAAAACATCTTTTACTATTTGACTTAAATGGATTTCTTGTTGAAGAGAGTAATAATTTGTACAAGGGTGATTTCAGTGTGCAAGTATTTCAACAAAGCAAGTGTTCTGCATGCGACACGTCTTTGCAAGTTCCAGCAGTTCATTTCCTCTGCAAACATTCGTATCACCTGCATTGTTTGGAATCATATAGTGAAAAGGCTGATCGCTGTCCATCGTGTGCGAGGTTTTCGAATTACCAAGAGTAAATTTCAGTTCATTTTTTAAGGAAATTTGTGAACTGAAAGCAAAATTCTGCACATTTACGACTCAAATTTTGGACTGAACTTTATTAACTGCTTTTTAGATATTCAGGAGCAAGTGCTGCAGAATTTGAAGGAACGGACTCGTATTCAAAATTTCAAGAAGAAGTAAGTTCGTGTGGTTATGAATAATTTTAATGGACAAATTTTGTAATTTTTAAATTTGCGTAAACACTGCCAGGATAGTTTTGAAGCGTATGTGCCAGAATTCTTATAATTGGAAAATTTTCAGTTAAATGCCTCGTTGGATTGTATGTCTTTAGTTGCTTCTTGTATCAGCAACGGACTCTTCGACGACTGGACCAAAAGAACAAATGAAGGGAGCGAAAGTCATCTTTTGAAGACTAAGCTAACAAATGTCATTAACCCCGAGGCGAGTTATGGAGTGCAACTTGTTTCGAACGCAAAAGTCACGACTAATCCCTTTGAAGAAGACGAGGCTTCCACTAATCCATTCGAAGAACTTTCAACTAACCCGTTCGGCGAAGTTGACTCTTGATACATGCTGTGATATAAAACAAAAAGAACTGTCTAACTTTATGACATTTTCCATATCCGAGTTTTTGAAGAAAAAATTCGTGATTTCTTTTAAGGAGCTGTGTTGCAGAGACAGAATGTGCCTAACAGTTCCACTGTTTGCAATTTTATTATGCGTCCCTTTGAATAAGTGGTTTAAATGAATTGGTTTTTTTTTATGTTGCGCCGACTTTCTTTTATAGAATTGTAGTCAGCAACGGATGTTTGGTGTTGAGAAATACTTGAGTTTGAAAAAGCTCCTGAGAGTCCGACGGGTAAACGTCACCAGAAAGTGATACGTAAATTTTAATTGTGTCCAGGTGTAATGCATTATACTTTTGCGCCAAAAACGGACTGCAACACTAAGTGCAGAGTAAAAATTGGACCGTTATGGTCGGCTTCTTAACAGCGCTAATAGAATTTTCTTATTTCAAAAACTTGTCCAAAAACCAAAAAAAATTAGTGAAACTGCCTTCAACTTGCTATTGCGTGTTAGGTACTTTAGCAACCAATAAATCGTTGCAATTCCTTAAAACTTGAAGAGTTGACTTTTTGCAGAGAAAATCAGGGTTCTTAAAATAACTGTTTTCACATTTCTTTTACGGACAGACAGTTTCAATTTTAAATGCTTGCAACTGTTACACGATTTTTCAGTTAGAAATACAGTTTGAAAAGTGAAAAGATGCTTTTTAAGGACTAAATTAATAATTAATTTGTTGCAGTCAGCTATTAGTGGTATTTCACCTAAGTTGAAATTTTTGTCTACAGTCCCTAAAACTTCAGTTCTATTCATTGTAAGAATACCAGATGGAGAGATCATTAATGAAAGCGTTCCATAGCTTGTTCTATAACGATTGAAAAGATTGGGATAGACGTCAAAGATGATGCCTTTAGTTCTTTTTTCTAGAGTAATGCAGGCAACTTTTGCGTTCGAATCCTGAGTTAGGGCGGAGCATAGCGTTACGTGGGAAGTCTATAACAGTTTATTTGAAAAGAACTGTCAATAAAAGATATTCCGCCAGATATCCGCTCTTGAACAGAATAACTGATGACTGAACAGAATATTTCAAATAGTTGTGTAGTGAAGTGCGTTTTTGCCGCAGACAAACACCTGTAGCTCTGAACTGTCCTAAGACTTCTACGTAATTAGATTTCATGTCCTTAATAATCATATAGCAAATACCACGCATGTATCACTGACACAGTAATACCTTGACGGCGTTTTAGTATTAAGTTGCTGGATCACATATACACGCAACCAGATAGTAAGAAAAAATCGACTTTTGGTTCCGGCAGTAGAAGCCAATAAACCATTTATGACAGTATTAATGTAAAAAAGATGAGGTATGAAGAAAAAAAGTAAAAAAATAATAAGAATAAGGTGCATGATGTTGCTAAATAAAGGATCTGTTTATGCCTTTATCTATGTGCCGTGAAGGCTTAAGCTGCCACTGCTGCTTTCCCAAAGCAGAAGATAAGAATGAACAAGACTGCAGTTAGCAGCACAGATTGTTTTACCTTATATATTTTTGAGTGAAGAAGTTGTACAATTTCCGCTGCGTTTAAGACAGAAATCTACCTTCATTTTCCTATAGTTACAAGCTTAAAATTGCTTCTTCTTTAATCGCAATACAAAAAGCTATTCTTTATTCCTGTACAAAAAGCCGCACTTGATCCTGTTAATTCCTAACCGTTGAAACTGTATCTCCGAAAATACAGAACACACCCTACGTTGTCTGGGACCGAACTGAAACTTGAGTTTCTTCTTGTCAGCGGCAGTGGGTTTTCCCACCCTCTAAAATACCGCTACTGTGAAGGAGCTGGCAGAGGCAACAACAATCTCTCAGTCATACTGGTGCCTTGAACCACTTGGATGGGCTGACCAAAGTTTTTGAGCTGCATGATCGGAATTGGTAGAAACACCGTTGGTTGTGCTTTTCAAATTGAAAAACTTGAGTGACTTTCAAAGCTATGACACTTATTGCGGTACTCAAGTAATTTTAGGCTGTGAAAACGTTTACAGTTATTACACAACGATTAACAAGTTTGCACGGGCAAAACTTTAAAGTTTTGGTTCAACATACAATCCACATTCAACTGCAGATTTCTGGGAAGTCTCACATTGC